GTGGAGCAGACAGCAGACATGTGGAGCAGACATGTGGAGCAGACATGTGGAGTAGACATGTGGAGCAGACATGTGGAGCAGACAGCAGACATGTGGAGCAGACATGTGGAGCAGACATGTGGAGCAGACATGTGGAGCAGACATGTGGAGCAGACATGTGGAGCAGACAGCAGACATGTGGAGCAGACAGCAGACATGTGGAGCAGACATGTGGAGCAGACAGCAGACATGTGGAGCAGACATGTGGAGCAGACATGTGGAGCAGACTTGTGGAGCAGACATGTGGAGCAGACATGTGGAGCAGACAGCAGACATGTGGAGCAGACAGCAGACATGTGGAGCAGACATGTGGAGCAGACAGCAGACATGTGGAGCAGACAGCAGACATGTGGAGCAGACATGTGGAGCAGACAGCAGACATGTGGAGCAGACATGTGGAGCAGACATGTGGAGCAGACATGTGGAGCAGACTTGTGGAGCAGACATGTGGAGCAGACATGTGGAGCAGACATGTGGAGCAGACATGTGGAGCAGACATGTGGAGCAGACAGCAGACATATGGAGCAGACATGTGGAGCAGACATGTGAAGCAGACATGTGGAGCAGACATGTGGAGCAGACAGCAGACATGTGGAGCAGACAGCAGACATGTGGAGCAGACATGTGGAGCAGACATGTGGAGCAGACAGCAGACATGTGGAGCAGACATGTGGAGCAGACATGTGGAGCAGACATGTGGAGCAGACAGCAGACATGTGGAGCAGACATGTGGAGCAGACAGCAGACATGTGGAGCAGACATGTGGAGCAGACATGTGGAGCAGACAGCAGACATGTGGAGCAGACATGTGGAGCAGACATGTGGAGCAGACAGCAGACATGTGGAGCAGACAGCAGACATGTGGAGCAGACAGCAGACATGTGGAGCAGACATGTGGAGCAGACATGTGGAGCAGACATGTGGAGCAGACAGCAGACATGTGGAGCAGACAGCAGACATGTGGAGCAGACAGCGGACATGTGGAGCAGACAGCAGACATGTGGAGCAGACATGTGGAGCAGACATGTGGAGCAGACATGTGGAGCAGACATGTGGAGCAGACATGTGGAGCAGACATGTGGAGCAGACATGTGGAGCAGACATGTGGAGCAGACATGTGGAGCAGACAGCAGACATGTGGAGCAGACATGTGGAGCAGACAGCAGACATGTGGAGCAGACATGTGGAGCAGACAGCAGACATGTGGAGCAGACAGCAGACATATGGAGCAGACATGTGTAGCAGACAGCAGACATGTGGAGCAGACAGCAGACATGTGGAGCAGACTTGTGGAGCAGACATATGGAGCAGACAGCAGACGTTGCATTGCAGAAAATCAAATGTCGCAAGAAAAAAGTCACAGGAAAAAAAGTCGCAAAAGTGTATTTGCATGGCAGTTATTAATACTTTTATGTATTTCACAACAATCTATTCCTATTCTCAACAATCGTTCAACCACCTTTACTGACCACATTTATCTTGATCATTACACAAGGATCAAGACAAAAGGCCGACGCGGTACAAAGGCTGTCATTAAAAAAAAAATATTATATATCGTGTGGACGGACTAGGCCACAGAGGAAAGGCTAAACATTCAAAACACAAGATGTGCCTAAAACACCAAGATGTTCTTAAAACACAAGATGTGCCTAAAACACCAAGATGTGCCTAAAACACCAAGATGTTCCTAAAACACAAGATGTGCCTAAAACATAAAAATGTGCCTAAAACACAAAGATGTGCCTAAAACACAAGATGTGCCTAAAACATAAAGATGTGCCTAAAACACAAAGATGTGCCTAAAACACAAAGATGTGCCTAAAACACCAAGATGTGCCTAAAACATAAAAATGTGCCTAAAACACAAAGATGTATCTAAAACACAAGATCTGCCTAAATTTCTTTTATAAATAATTTTTCTACCAGGTATTTAAATAAGAAACAAAATTTGAGGCTGTTGTGTGAGTCATGTTATGACAATTTTTCTTATGCAGAAGATAAAAGAAGAACAACAATACAGTTAAACTTTATACAAACGTTAAGAACAAAAACAACGCGCAATTATAAACACCCGAAATTTTACAAGTGTCTACAAGAAAATCAAAATATTTCTTGGAACATTTTTGTGACTTTTTTTTCTATGACTTTATTTCTGAGACTTTTTTTCCCCATAAAATTCTCCCATTGTAACTTTTTCTCAGCTCACCAATCACAGCGTGTAACAAATTAAAAACGTAAAATACATTTGGGGATCTAGTTGTGTCTTGTGTCTTGCTGATAGGTAAGTTTGTTTGTTTGTTTGTTCTGGTTCATCAAACGTTGGATAAAATAGCAAGCAGAGCATGAAATTATGAAGGAAGTTGGCAGAAATTTTATTCCGTGTTAGTCTACGCTCTGTTAGGTCACGGGTATGCCTGTGTTTAACGTGTCGGTCGACACTTGAACACAACACAAACACAACATTAGATCTCTGGCGTTGCTGTGTTTAACGTGTTGGTAGACACCTGAACACAACACAAACACACCAGCGACCAACCTTACTACTATGTAGATAGTTAATTCTAACTACGATGACAGTTATGTCGAACATATATATGGTTATATTATATGAGATATATAAAAATATATAGCTTTGGATGTTATAATTCCATATAGTATAAGTAATAATAGAAAACTTTAGCTATTGTCATTCTGTATGTCTACATTAAATTATGTATTACGTTCATCAATTTCTGTAAGTATTGTTTAATACGTCTAAACGGCTGATTTGATCAGTCAATGAAATATGTCTAATAGTTGGCTATCTAATTCAATGATTTATGTCTAATAGTTGACTATCTAAGTCAATGATATATGTCTAATGGTTGATTATCTAAGTCAATGATATATGTCTAATGGTTGACTATCTAAGTCAATGATATATGTCTAAACGTTAATAATAAGTGTCAATTGTTAATAATCGCAGTCAAAGAGTGTTGATCTACTTCTGTTTTAAATTACCATTGTCAGTTCTTTATGAGCTCCAGAGTAATGCTTTCTGTTTCAAGTCTTTTTATTTTGAATTCTTGCTAAATACTTTACTGTCGGTGTCTACAAGTGTCTATGATGTGTCTACCCGTGTATATGATATATGTGTCTACCCGTGTCTATGATGTGCCTACCCGTGTCTATGATGTGTCTACCCGTGATATGATATATGTGTCTACCCGTGTCTATGATGTGCCTACCCGTGTCTATGATGTGTCTACCCGTGTCTATGATGTGTCTACCCGTGTCTATGATGTGTCTACCCGTGTCTATGATGTGTCTACCCGTGTATATGATATATGTGTCTACCCGTGTCTATGATGTGTCTACCCGTGTCTACGATGTCTTTGTCTACCCGTGTATATGATGTGTCTACCCGTGTCTATGATGTGTCTACGCGTGTCTATGATTTGTACTAGACTACAACAAGGGACAAGACTATAAAACTTATCTAGATGTCTTCTTCAAAGAGAAAGGTGGGTCTTAGAAATGTGTCTAACAGAAAAAGTTGTGTCTTAGAAATGTGTCAGAGAAAGTTGTGTATTAGAAATGTGTCTAACAGAGACAGTTGTGTCTTAGAAATGTGTCTAACAGAGACAGTTGTGTCTTAGAAATGTGTCTAACAGGAAAGTTGTGTCTTAGAAATGTGTCTAACAGAGAAAGTTGTGTCTTGAAAATGTGTCGGGTGTCTAAAGGTCAAATATTGGCATCAAAACCAAGTGAAAACTCTCACGTAGTATCCAGGAATATCCACAGTGGCATGTATCCAGTAGCATCCAGAATATCCAATTAAAATATATCCATTCACTATAATTTATTTAGTGTAGGTCGATTTGAAGGAAAAAGCCTGTAAATTTCATTAGTCTAATGGACATTATATGAGGTTTATCTTATACACATTTAATTAGATCTATCTTAAATACGTTTAATTAGGTCCAATTTATACACATTTAATTAGGTCCAATTTATACACATTTAATTAGGTCCAATTTATACACATTTAATTAGGTCCAATTTATACACATTTAATTAGGTCCAATTTATACACATTTAATTAGGTCCAATTTATACACATTTAATTAGGTCCAATTTATACACATTTAATTAGGTCCAATTTATACACATTTAATTAGGTCTATCTTAAATGCATTTAATTAGTTCTAAGTTAAACACAGTAAATTAGGTCTATCTTTAACACATTAAATTAGGTTTATCTTTAACATAAAATTAGGTCTATCTCATTAAATTAGGTCTATCATATAGGCGTACACATTAAATTAGGTCTATCTTTAACACATTCAATTAGGTCTATCTTTGACACATTTAAATTATGTTTATATTTAACACATTAAATTAGGTCTATCTTATTAAATTAGGTCTATGTTATAGGCCTACACGTTAAATTAGGTCTATCTTTGGAACCTATAGGCTACTGGACATGCCATTAGGCCTATCTAGATCTACATGAGATATATATTTGGCATGATCAACATTAAGTGCCGGATGTTAGTTAGGGCCTACATTTATTAATTATCCTTGGACATTTTAACCTACTTTAATTATCTTAATTATTAAACTGGACAGTTGTGGACTACTTACATTGATAATATTATTCATTTTATTTTAGTTTAGGATCCCTGACTAAGTTTTTATTGTCCAACACGTATAGAAAATTCAATCTACTTTAAAAGGCTTACACAAATAAATATTCATTGCACTTAAATATATTATTTAAAAGATTTCCATTATTAGAATTATGTTCACTGCGTTAATAAATTATTCACTGGAAAGTTGGATTTACGGGCCTTCATTGCTAAAATATTGAAGAAATAATTGACTGGATAAAGTAAAGTAACGGCTTACTAAATGTTCTGTTACTGGACATAGGGGCCACCACAAAGATGTGACACGAATTTATTTTCTCTCCAACTTACCCCGATGAGCGTCGTCGCCATGTTTGCCGGCCAATAGATCGGACAGTCCGGGGCTGGTCCAGCCGAATGTGTGGGGGACACGGCGTCAATCAGCGCCACTTGCCCTCAAGTGCCGGGACACGCCCACATAACGGGCACCTGCTTGACGCAGAGACGCCACCACGCACGGCGCAGGGAGCGCGCGCTGAGGAGTGGGCGGGGCCATCGCTTCAGCTGTCAGAGGAAATTATTTAACTGTATGATTGAAGGACAGGGAGAGGGGGCAGATGGGCAGAGAATGACAGAAAGAGAAATACGGCCGTTGTTTTGTTTGTGGGAACAGATTAATCTTTAATCCCATGACTTTTGCACCTTTTTAATTCGGCTTAACGTTCGCTATTTCGCGGTTATATTTTTTTTTAAAGCAATGAAGCCAAAAAAAAAAATTGGAAAAAACCATCAAGTCAGATAGCCTGCGATTGACGGGAGCTCTTTTTTTTTAATTAACGGTAGTGGGAGGGGGAGGGGAGGATGTGGGAGTATTGTGGGTGGAATGGGAGGGTGTGGGAGGGTGTGGGATGTAACCAAAAAGACGCGAGACAAAGTGGCTGATGAGGGTGTTGATGGCTCGGGTAGCCTCAGGTCTTACAGCAACAGTAACATTAGCCTGTGTTTTTTTTTTTACATCAGTAACATTAGCCTGTGTTTTTTACAACAGTAACATTAGCTTGTGTTTTTTTTTACATCAGTAACATTAGCCTGTGTTTTTTACAACAGTAGCATTGGCCTGTGTTTTTTACAACAGTAACATTAGCTTGTGTTTTTTTACAACAGTAACATTAGCCTGTGTTTTTTTTACAACAGTAACATTAGCTTGTGTTTTTTACAACAGTAACATTAGCTTGTGTTTTTTACAACAGTAACATTAGCTTGTGTTTTTTACAACAGTAACATTAGCCCCAGGTGTGGTAGCAACAGTAACATTAGTCTATGTTTTTTTTTTTACAGTAACACCAGCCTGTGTTTTTTTACAACAGTAACATTATTAGACTGAAAATTTGTACACATAGTCAATCACACAAGAGAGAAACTTTGTACACATAGTCAATCACACAAGACAATCTTTGTACACATAGTCAATCATACAAGACAAACTTTGTACACATAGTCAATCATACAAGACAAACTTTGTACACATAGTCAATCACACAAGGCTGAAACTTTGTACTCATAGTCGATCATACAAGACAAACTTTGTACACATAGTCAATCATACAAGGCTGAAACTTTGTACACATAGTCAATCATACAAGACAAACTTTGTACACATAGTCAATCACACAAGGCTGAAACTTTGTACACATAGTCAAGCATACAAGACAAACTTTGTACACATAGTCAATCACACAAGGCTGAAACTTTGTACTCATAGTCGATCATACAAGACAAACTTTGTACACATAGTCAATCATACAAGGCTGAAACTTTGTACACATAGTCAATCATACAAGACAAACTTTGTACACATAGTCAATCATACAAGGCTGAAACTTTGTACACATAGTCAATCATACAAGACAAACTTTGTACACATAGTCAATCACACAAGGCTGAAACTTTGTACACATCGTCAATCATACAAGACAAACTTTGTACACATAATCAATCACACAAGGCTGAAACTTTGTACTCATAGTCGATCATACAAGACAAACTTTGTACACATAGTCAATCACGCAAGGCTGAAACTTTGTACTCATAGTCGATCATACAAGACAAACTTTGTACACATAGTCAATCATACAAGGCTGAAACTTTGTACACATAGTCAATCATACAAGACAAACTTTGTACACATAGTCAATCATACAAGGCTGAAACTTTGTACACATAGTCAATCGTACAAGACAAACTTTGTACACATAGTCAATCATACAAGGCTGAAACTTTGTACACATAGTCAATCATACAAGACAAACTTTGTACACATAGTCAATCACACAAGACTGAAACTTTGTACACATTGCAGATTGTAATTATAGCTTACACCGATCCCTTAGATAATATTAATGTTTATTTACCGCCACCTCATATTTGTACACAAAGTTTGGTATTTTAAACCACACACAGGATATTAATATTTTTAACTTTTTTTTTAAAAGTGGAAACGTAGAGTTTGATATAAAATAATACAAAATTACAAATTTAATCGGATTAGATTCCTCGTAAAATTAGTTAAAAAATCAGCACTCATTCGTCGCTTTTACGGTGATCTCAGCTGTTGTTTAATTTTAACACGTTTATCGTCTATAGATTAAATACTTGTCTAATAGCTCACGATACATTATTAAACTTGAGGAATTAAAAAAAAAAACGTTTGGATTAAACACTGTAAGAATCTGTCCAATGTATGAATAGGACTAGTTAATACACTGGACACACAGTCGTAATAAAATGGTAATACAATGGTGTTACAATGGTGTTACAATGGTGTTACAATGGTGATACAATGGTGATACAACGGTGATAAAATGGCCCCATTCATGTAAAATGGCATTGTTGCTGTATCCAATGTTAGATGGTATTGTCGCTGTGTGCCCGTGTTGTAAGACCTACCCGTCCCACGGCCTATCGTGTCAGCTGAACTGGTCTTAGCCTACAGTGGCTGGGTCTGCTCGGGTAATCCCCGGGGTCCGTCCCTTTGTTGGCGCCAGGTCTGCTCGTCTCGTGCTCCGGCAGATGTCCACGTGTCACCCCATGCATGACACTGACTCAATGTCCGTCATTATCCCGTGTGGCCGTCATGGACACTCGCACTGGTCAATGCGGGGTTAGGTGTGGAGCCGGCAGAGTTAGGTGTGGTGCCGGCAGGGTTAGGTGTAGTGCCGGCAGGGTTAGGTGTGGTGCCGGCAGGGTTAGGTATGGTGCCGGCAGAGTTAGGTGTGAAGCCGGTACGGTTAGGTGTGGTGCCGGCAGGGTTAGGTGTAGTGCCGGCAGGGTTAGGTGTGGTGCCGGCAGGGTTAGGTATGGTGCCGGCAGAGTTAGGTGTGAAGCCGGTACGGTTAGGTGTGGTGCCGGCAGGGTTAGGTGTAGTGCCGGCAGGGTTAGGTGTGGTGCCGGCAGGGTTAGGTATGGTGCCGGCAGAGTTAGGTGTGAAGCCGGTATGGTTAGGTGTGCTGCCGGCAGGGTTAGATGTGGTGCCGGCAGAGTTAGGTGTAGTGCCGGCAGTTAGGAGTGGTGCCGGCAGGGTTAGGTGTGGAGCCGGCAGAGTTAGGTGTGGAGCCGGTACGGTTAGGTGTGGTGCCGGCAGAGGGAGGTGTGGAGCCGGCAGAGTTAGGTGTGGAGCCGGTACGGTTAGGTGTGGTGCCGGCAGGGTTAGATGTGGTGCCGGCAGAGTTAGGTGTAGTGCCGGCAGAGGGAGGTGTGGAGCCGGCAGAGTTAGGTGTGAAGCCGGTACGGTTAGGTGTGGTGCCGGCAAGGTTAGGTGTGAAGCCGGCAGAGTTAGGTGTGGTGCCGGCAGGGTTAGATATGGTGCCGGCAGAGTTAGGTGTGGAGCCGGTACGGTTAGGTGTGGTGCCTGCAGGGTTAGATGTGGTGCCGGCAGAGTTAGGTGTAGTGCCGGCAGAGGGAGGTGTGGAGCCGGCAGAGTTAGGTGTGGAGCCGGCAGAATTAGATGTAGTGCCGGCAGAGGGAGGTGTGGAGCCGGCAGAGTTAGGTGTGGAGCCGGTACGGTTAGGTGTGGTGCCTGCAGGGTTAGATGTGGTGCCGGCAGGGATAGGTGTGGAGCCGGCAGGGTTAGATGTGGTGCCGGCAGGGTTAGGTGTGGTGCCGGCAGAGTTAGGTGTGGAGCCGGTACGGTTAGGTGTGGTGCCGGCAGGGTTAGGTGTGGTGCCGGCAGGGACAGGTGTGGTGCCGGCAGGGTTAGGTGTGGAGCCGGCAGGGTTAGATGTGGTGCCGGCAGGGATAGGTGTGGTGCCGGCAGGGTTAGGTGTGGAGCCGGTACGGTTAGGTGTGGAGCTGGTACGGTTTGGTGTGGTGCCGGCAGAGTTGGGTGTGGAGCCGGCAGAGTTAGGTGTGGAGCCGGCAGAGTTAGGTGTGGAGCCGGCAGAGTTAGGTGTGGTGCCAGGACGTAAGCTTTACTGGGCCAGGGATGTATCGTTTTAAAATGGACTCACACAATCATCTTGTATTATAGTCACACAATCATTTAGTTAGTATTTGAGTCACTCAATCATTTGGTATTACAATCATTTGGTATAAGTTAGACATTCATCACATTTCACCCTAGCTGTAAACACCAGATACAATTTTATTTAGGTTATCGGCGTGGGTAGGAACATGTAGTGGGCATTGGGTATTGCCGTGTGGTTGGTATTGCCGTGTGGTTGGTATTGCCGTGTGTTGAGTATTGTCGTGTGGTGGGTATTGCCATGTGGTGGGTATTGTCGTGTGGTGGGTATTGTCGTGTGGTGGGTATTGCCGTGTGGTGGGTATTGCCGTGTGGTGGGTATTGTCGTGTGGTTGATATTGTCATGTGGTGGGTATTGCCGTGTGGTGGGTATTGCCGTGTGGTGGGTATTGTCGTGTGGTTGATATTGTCATGTGGTGGGTATGTGAGTATTGCCGTGTGGTGAGTATAGCCGTGTGGTGGGTATAGTCGTGTGGTGCGTATAGTCGTGTGGTGCGTATAGTCGTGTGGTGCGTATAGTTGTGTGGTGCGTATAGTCGTGTGGTGCGTATAGTTGTGTGGTGCGTATAGTCGTGTGGTGCGTATAGTTGTGTGGTGCGTATAGTCGTGTTGTGGGAACTGGGTATTCAAACATAATTATCACATTTGAAGAAAATTATTTTTCCTTTAGGAAATGATCGAAAATAAAATAACGAGTTAAAAACAACCGCACCCCATTCATATACTTTCCTCTTCTCTTGGTGGGGGGGGGGGGGGTGTCTCAGGCACCACCCACATGTACCCATGTATTGGCACGTACGTGAGCACTTGCAGCTTCCAGCAGTTTAAAACAATGACTACCACCATATCGGTCAGCAAACAACTCAAGCCGCCAACTGCTCGACTGTCCGCTGAATGTGCGCCAGTTATTTCTTGTAGGGG